TTTCGAAAACTGGACTCCAGCAGGAGGAATCTACTAGAATGTTGTTATGTCCAACAAATCTAAACACGAGAAGGAATCCTTTGGGAATTACAGATTTCTAATGACCTCTTTCACATGAGCAAAATATGGGGTTAAAGGAAGCGGATCATCTTGAAATATTCTCTAGTTAGTCAAGTCAAGGTACGAGAAGTTGATACTGAACAACATCAGGACTTTCTTCATGAGTATTTTTTGCGACAAAAACATCTGTCAAAGAATGACGTAAATACCAAAAAGTTCGGTTGAACCCGATTTTTTTCTTTTTAATATTCCAAGCCGATACGTTCAAATTAAGAAGCTTTGTTGTTCTTAAAAACCCTTCAAATTCTTCTTCAGTTGAGATAGACATGCCTTTAAAAAAGACTTCAATTATTATTTCACTTTCAATGTTTATTAATAAAATTTATAGTTTAAATTTATATGTTTACTCACCAATTTAACGAAGCAAGAAAAAAATCCTACTAACTTTTGCATATTCATTATGAAATTAAAAGGTTGGAAAAGACAATAAAAGAAGCAGGCTAATTTTTTGACAGTGATCAAAAGACAAAAAGATGATGAAGGGAAGCGAGAAAGTGACACAACTATGCGATCCTTTGATGCCATTTTATCTTGCGAAAAAAAGCTCTTGCTCACGTAATCGTTATCTGCGATTAGTTTTCAAATTCAGATATTGTCAATACTAATGCAAATACGATTGAATAACACCAAAACTATATGAAGAGTCTTAACTAAAGAGTGTCATACTGTGAACGAAACAGAAAACATGAGCGGCAGTTCGCTAATGATCATTACGAAAAGCTAGATCATCGGAATTAAGAATCCAAAAGGGACAAAACTTAGCATTAAATTCAACGGTTAATAGTTATTTTTTACCTACTATAGGTAAAAAGGGGAAATCTTGAACTTAAAATTCACGTTAAAGAAAATGCTGCACGTCTAATATTTGTTTCGTAGCAGTATCCATTGGTTCATTAAAAAGCTACACTTGAAGGCTTGAATATTTCTGTTTATATTGTTCGACATCTTATAATATCCAATTGGCTAGATGTCAAATCAAATAAAAGAAAAAAGACTCAAATATTGTATAGTATTCATGTTTTCTACTGCTAAGCGGACATTATTTCATTGTTTTCGTTATCTAAGTGTCTAAGATCAACTATCTGTCATCAATAAGTGAGAATTTATAAACTAGTGATGTGTTATCATACAACTTCAATTTATCTGATGTAGTGTTGTCGCATTCTACATGACAGAGTAGTTTTCTTTTGGACAACTAGAAGTATATGAATATTTTGCGCAGAATCATTACCCAAAAAGATACAAAACAATTTTTTATCTGTTGTTAGAAAATGCAGTGGTTTCCTGTGTTATTTTTTCTTGGCATGGTAGCACTGATCTTTGGCACTGCTGCACAAGAGGATTCTGAACGTTCTACGACCGCGGGTAGTAATACACAAAGTACTTATAACAATATATGGTTAGAAAAACTGCCAGCAACTAATATCGGTGGATTTAAATACCACGATGGTGAAGTCATTCTGTTACAAAATCAACTAAAATCATCTAATTTTTTCTTTACACCATTTCCATATGTCGAACTGAATTTAACTGTTTGCAGTTACAATGACATGAGTGAAGCCTTGGAACTCAAAATGATTGTTTCGCTCTATACTACGAATTTACTCGAATCCATCGAGCGTCACATTAATAGAACCCATCAAAGTATTTGTCATACTGAACATTGTAAAGTTTCACTTTTACCAATGCACTCGCTCCGTCTCGTTGAAAAAAGACGTCGAACATCAGAGTCTCAAAAAAGATTCATGCTAAATAGTGATTGGCAGAGTAATACACAACTTCTACAAATGGTTGAGTTCATTATCTACACGTCTAATATGTCCATTTGTGAAAGCTTGAAAAATTCAATCCTCTCAGTTTGCGGTTTGCAAAATTTTGAAATTCACTATTCATTATACGGTCAACAGAAAGCAGCTCGAACTCTTGAAGTGACCACCGAACATGTAACGAAAACGTCGATGTACAATCAAATTAAATTTCAATTTCCTTCAAATCATCAAGAGATCATCGCTTTGACTGGTAATGATTATAAAGAACTCTTGAGTGAAACCATGGACCAAATTACAATAAATTTACAAATTGAAGAAGGTTTTAAAAGCATACAAGATCCAGTTTCAATCGATCAAATACTCAATCGTCAACTGCAGTATAAGCAAGTACGGATGATACAAGTCGGCGATCAATTTTGGGAATCGCTTTATTGGACGCCTGAGTTAACACGACCCGATCGGTTATCGAATGTACTGAATAAAATTATAGAACAAGATGCTACAGACTCAGACAAATTTCGCTACAATTATTCGCAGCGAGACGAAGCTTTCAAACAAGATTTAAAACTTAATGAGAGACTAAAAATTGACGACTTCAAAAGACACGTAGCGGCAACAGGTAAAGATACTAGGCGTACAACTGATATTGGTGCTCATGGCAGTTATGAATCCGGAGTCAATTTCGCAGGCAAGGTCTAGGCAAATATGAAACCCAATGCGGATGTCAATGTTTTCAATGAGAAAACGAACAAGGAATATAAGCTGAACGATGATACAATTCACTATATATTTGATACGGGGCGATTAAACGACACGTATAATGATAGAAGAAATAATACGATAATAATCCTACGACGAAAAGATGCAGAAAAATTACTTCGATACTTTTCGGAGCACGTTGAACTCGAAGGTGAAATCATAAAACCGAAACCGATCGATGTTGTACTCGTCAAGTTCGGCTCATTATCATCTAACACAAAGCTGTTCTCCAATACGGTTCTTGTGAAAACTCGAATGAACATACATGCTTTACCACTTCGCTGTCCATATAAATATCGTCATCCTTCGTCAGGTACCTGGCTTGAAGAAACATACCATCGCTTATCAAATGTTGTTGACGAATTGCACAAAAATTTAACGACAGATTTGAAAGTGACAAAATCGTCAATAAGCGAAGCTGAATCACGCCTTAATCAAAAACTGGCTCAAAACTTTATGGTAGGTGAAATAAAACTGTACTTCGGTGAAGCATCATCTCTACCATGTAATTGGGTGTTCTGTCACGGACAAACTCTCTCTCGCACCGAATATCAACGTCTTTTTTCTGTTATCGGTGAATCATTCGGAGCTGGAGATGGAAAAACAACGTTCAATGTATCCGATTTTCGCGACCGTTTCCCACTAGGTCACAATCCAATCGGCAGTGGGGTAGACGGTTGGAAAAAAGGAGGAAATAAAGAACAGATACTCACAATTGATCAAATGCCTACTCATCACCATAGTGCTGGTACATTACACGCTACCAATGCAGGGACACACACACATACGATCAACGATCCAGGCCATAATCATGGAGGTCACACGGAACGACACTACCAAAAATCCAGTTGGTTAAGTTCAAACCCCCAAGCCTATACCGTCGCCTACGGCACCAACGTCTTCTACGGCGAACATGGATACCATCAGCATGATATTCCAGTAGGAAAAACTGGAATAACCCTCGATAATGATGGCATCCATTCTCATTTAATTCAAGGCTTAACCGATTCGGCTGGTCGTGGAAATTCATTCAGCATTATGCCACCTTATCAGACAATTGCTTATATCATTTTCACTGGAGCGAATTGTGCTTGAAGTGTCGCTGTGTTTGGAAGCCTCCTTTTCACTGATACCCGCATCCCTCACTCGCTCAACCTGACACCATCATACCTCACCCACCACTTGATGAAAGATATTCATGATTATATATATATGCCAATAAATTTTGATATAGAAGTGGAGGGAAAACCGATCGATTATCTTCGGATGAGTAGGTATTAGCATAATCGTGCTTTCGATGTTCTCTATCCTGAAAGGATGAGTCTTCACAGCATTAAATGTTTGTTTGGATGTTCGCGCCTTCATTGGTGGTATCGGGAACTAATAGAAATCAAGTGAAAAACAGATCAATCTCTCTTTTAAAGAAAAGACAAACTAATCGGCTAGTCTCAACTTTTGCTTTTCAGCAATCGATTGTATGCCGAATTTCAGTTATTCTTGTAGTAGAGTGCCTTGAGAAAAGTTCAGATAAATGCAGAGTTTTTTGATTTTGCCGACGCGTTTCGTGTTATTTATTGAAATATAAACACTCATCAGGACACTCTGCATTATAAAAACAAAAAACAAAATTATTTGAATATGAATTGATCCTTCCATAAGGACAAATAATAAAAGTAGTATTTAGTCGTCAACAGTACGATGATTTCATAATCGATATCTTCTCTTTCACAATTACAATCGGTTACAATTAAAGCTAAAGTGAACTGATTATGAACCGGATCTATATTGCGAATTTGTTTTTTGACATCCAGAAGATCAAATAATGGAGATGAATAATTAAAATCATATGTATCAATTAGTTCTATTGGTATTTCTGTTGAAGAGAATCTAGGAACTAATATCGGAGAAGATGTAGGGGCTGGTTAATGTTGATAATGATTGAGGACGAGTAATAACGGCGGCAAGTTCTTCTTCATTGTCGTAAGAGGGAAAATTGTTCTCTAATATCCAATTTAGTTCTTATGGAGAAGAAGAAGGTAGTAAGATACTGTAGACTAATAATATAGACTATATCCAAGGATCGATTTAGGTAAGTTATTTGTTGATATAGTCAGCTTCACGGATGATGATAGACTATATCCGAGGATCGATTGTTTATTGATATAATCAGCTTCATGGATGAGGATTATTATATAATATAGACTACATCTGAAGATTGATTTATTGATATACTCAGCCTCATGAATAATGACTATTAACCCTTGGAGATAGTTTTCAAAGATATTTTAGCTACTTGTTCAAGTTGTTTATTCTTCGAGGATATCTTAGCTACTTGTTTAAGTTATAATTTAGTTATATAAATGTATTCCATATATGAATAGTGATAATATATAATTCCAATGGATCTTGTTCATCTGTTGATGTATAGAGAGGCATTCGATTAGTTGGACTTTGATTATATCAAACAATATTAGCAATTAATATTCAATACTATTGCCTTAGCAAGTTATATACATTCTATTGTTGGAATATTAATACCAAGGGGGAAAAAGCTGATTCTGGAGGTCGGAATCAGCTGGAATCAGTCAGAATTAATGAAATCACTCGGAATCAATCAGAATCGCTTAGAATCACATAGAACCTTACGGAATCACATAGAATCTTATGGAATCAAACGTAAAAAAATGCCTGCTTATACTCGCCAATCAGGTTTTTTCATGCTGCGGTCTCGGCCAATCACACCTTTTCATGCAGTAATAGAGATGAAATCAAGCTATTTCGAAACCTTTCAGAAAGCTTTCAATACATCCACTGACAGTCGACGTGCGCACTATTAACTGATTTCAAAGAATCGCATCACATTGGTCTCGAATATATTCATTCATTCAACTGTTTGATGCAGAAATGACGATGTTAGTAATGGTTTTAGAAGCATTCGAAAAGAAATATCTAGATTTCGGATCTTAATTAGATACAGCAATCTGTCAATATTTTCTAGTAATCAATACAATTAATCAACAGGTTTCTTAGACATACATTTCTTATTTAATCGATTAGAGGTCAATTTCAATGTATGAATTGGTACTTGACACGATATACAAAATCTTGCATAAAAACAGATATTTTTAACCCGATTAATCAATCAGATGTATAAAATATCATTCTTTTCTTTTTCTGCTTTTCAATGAATTCTTAAAGATTTTATTTGATGAATAACTCAGAATGCATTGGAACGAGACCAATTCTGAAGCTTCATCGAACGCACTTTGAACAAATGCACGAAATGGATAATAAAGAAAAGTGAGTCGTCCGTGTATTCAACTATACATATAAAGATAAGGAGATGGATCGACGAAACCTATGACATACCATGTTCTTCATTTCCAAAAGTCATTATTTTTTAGGATTTCTAAAGGTAAAGTGGCTAGTTCCTTGATCACTTCTATTTTCACATCGAGTCGTCTGATACCAATCGACAAAACTTGTTTCCATTTACTTCGAGGGTGTGGATGTGGGTGGGTGTGGGTATGCGTGTTGGTGTGGACATGGCTCTCGATGTGGGAGTGACTGGTGTAGACTAGCCCCTCCCACTTTTCGGATGTATCTGTGAAAATTTTCTGGTTAGCTAGCTATCTGCCAAATTTTTTAAGCAGTCTATGACTTCTGACACATTCAGAAGACAGTCTATGTTCAGTCAGATCAAGTCAACGGACTAAATCTGGCAAATTCGGCAGTCAGTCTGTAATTTCTGTCGAATCTACCAGATAGCCTGTGGCTCCATCGGATATAATAGACAATGTAGATCTGACAAATTTGACAGTCAGACTCTGGTTTCTACTGTACTCACTAAACAATCTGTGATTCTAACAGATTCAACAGACAGTGTAGGGCTGGGAAATCTAGTAGATATTCTGTGACTTCTGCTAGATCTGATAGGCAGCCTAGTCCTCGCAAATCTCCCAAACAATCTATAACTTCGACCGAATCTTGCAGAGAGACTAGACTTTACATCGAATGTGAAGCCAAATTTGAGTAAACTTTGCTGTCTGTAATGGCAATCTGAGTTGACTTTTCGTAAAATCAAGTCGCGGCCGACTGTGATTTTAAAAAGTAAGCTTAAAAAACATTTCTCTAAGGACTAACCGTCACTAGCGTCGCCACCTTCGGTGGCAAATATATTGAGAAAAGTCTTTGGAATATATATGAAAAGACTTTTTTTCGGAAGTTGTAAAGCAAAGTATGACTCTTAGCAGTCTGAGAAAAGTTTTCGATCCTTGCGACATTGCTTTTGATTCTGTACCAGTTAGTGGGGTTTGCCGAAGTCTACATTTGACAGGAAATTAGATTCGAAGCAAGAAGAATTTCGTGGAACTATTATAGTGGCAAACATTTTATACTGCTTCTATTCTGAAAAATTCTTTACCGATTGTTCCCTTCACCCCATTTGAATTTCCAACTATGTCTGTGAAAACTTTTGGATACTGTCTGCAAAAAAAATTTAGCCCCTCTCACTTCTGAAAACTATCGAGAGTCTTGGATGTGGATGTAGCTGTGAGTTGGGTGTCGATGTGCGTGTGGTTGTTTGATAAATTGCAATAAACACGCCCACACCCATACCCACCCACGCCGATGCCTACACCCACCCGCACCCACACCCATACCCACACGCTTCTATGAAATCTTTGGTGATTCTCGATACTTTTATTCTTCTGGAATACAGAATACATATATTTCCTTCTTGAATTGATTGGTGCTTGTCACTCCTGCGATATCAACATTGACTCGCCAGAATGTTGTTGAGATCTTCGTTCAGCTTCTTGCTTGATCATCGCTTGCTGAATTTGCATCGGTAGACCTGGACTGAGACTCAAAGCATACGGCAATAATGTTTTGGGTATTTCTCCAAAATCAACCATAATTTTAATAAACATTGTGTCGTCTCTGACATACGGATTTCCTTCCTGTTGAATCGCTTCTAATGAGAAAAATTTTGGTATGCCACTGGCTATATTCATGTCCGATCGAGGTCGTTGAAAACTACTTGATTTAATGTCTGGTCGAAATGAATCGATAATATGTCGTTGTTGAGGAGTTTGATCGTACAAACAGAATGTGACCTTATAATTGAACGGAAACTTGAGAATTGGATCGTTCAAACCTCGCATGAGCACAAAAAAGAGCGACATATGTGTACGACGAGCATTTCCATCGCCATTCAAATAAAGGCGAGCTCTCATTTTATACCCATTTGGAGACGAATAAAATGGGGATGAATAAATTGATGTTTGTCTTTCGGACTGTGCATCAACTAAAAATTAAACCAAAAAAAAATTATGTCAAGAAGAGCAAAAACAGTATAGAAAAGGACGGGGCGTATAAGCTGTAGAAAATGGGCCACTAGGGATTTATTGACATTTTATTGACAATTCTTTCTAGAGAAGTGAGGCAACTTTTATTTAAGCGGATCTAAGTAAGGATGTGGGTGTGGGTGTAGGTAAAGATCTTTCTTTTTCTCGCCCACACCCACGCCCTTTTTAATATTGGGACCAACCCAAAACTAAATGAATTATATATCAGTTTGTAGTCCTTGCTTCGCTCTATCGAACGGTATATAAATGAAACTGGTTCGCATGAAAAAAAAATTCAAACGAATCAATATTATGTTAGATAGTATGCAATAAAATCATGTTCAATAGGATGTCCAATAGAAGAGTGGTGTTATTGATGACCTCGGTAGTTCGTAAAAAAAATAACAGTCTTTATATGAAAGGATGCAGAATTAAATTCTCTTGTTAATGAAGATAAATTGAGGTTTCAATATTTTCAAAAGCTTATCTATTTTGATCAAATATTGAACTACGATGATTACACTTAGAACACATCAAAGATCCCAAAAAGACCTATATGATATTTTACAATATTTTCGCTTGAAAATAAGCCTCAACATGCATAGTTCTACTTAGATCTGCTTTAATAAAACTTGCATCACTTCTTTAGAAAGAACTGTCAATGAAATGTCAATAAATCCCTAGTGGCCCATTTCCAATAGCTTATACGCCTCCGTCCTTTAGTTGATCGACAGCAGTAATGATTCATGTTGTCAATTCATTTATATATTACTCATAGTTAGTATTGGAGTATAATTATATATATAATGTTGAATGCAACGTTGAATCAATTAAGTTTTATTTGTCGATGTTATAGAAACCGAATAATATGTTATTCTTTGGTCATCTTCTCGGTAAGATTTTCTATTTTTATCGTTGGACATAGAAATAATCGGTCATCTTACTCATTTTCTCGTGGAAGTTTCCTATTTTCCAAACGAGTGTTCCATCGTACGATATATATTGCAAATCATTGATTTTTTCTTGCAATGATAATAAATCTTGGTTAAGAATGGCTTGATTATGTTTGACTCCTTCCAAAAAAGCATTTGACTCTTCAACAGATAATTTAACTTTCGATAATTCTTCTGTCAGTGTTGGAATAGCCGTTTGCATTTTTAGTGCTTCAGTGGCTAGGCGTTGTTCATCATTGGCCAATGTTTCTATACCACCTACTAAAATACTAAGCATTTCATAAAGCTCTTCTGATTGAGCTGTAGCAGAATTACAAGGTCCCGCAGTTGTTGTTCGAGAATGCTCAATATCCGTTTGTCTGTCGTTCAATTGTGATAACATTTGATGAACAGCATTGAGTAAAGCATGTTGATGTTGTTGAGTTAAATAATGATCTTGCATTTCAACACGGATAATCTAAATAACATGAATTTTTCTATATTGATTTCATCTAGAGAATATGCATACTCGTTCATTACAACCAAAACCTTTCAATATACAGTCAACAATGAGATGTCGACATTTGAAGACTTTATGTTCATTCAGTTTGTTAATTGAATTGAACTGTTCGCCGCAATATTCACATTTGCCATTTGAATGAAATTGGTCAAGATGTTCCTTTAGAACACAAAGAAAAGAAGCTTTATGAATAAAATAAATATAAAATAAATTACTTGATAGTTATTTAAGATCCCAGCCCACTGACAAAAAGAGCAATCAATGGGCAGCAATTTCATATCCATTTTGAAACCTCGATCAACTAGTATCTGTACAAAAGAAGTATATTTCCCCTTTAATTATGAAAAGATATCTTACGTCATTCCTTAACGATTCTGCTTGGCATTGCTGGCATTTAATTATCGTTCTTAAAAGAGAACATCGAACAATAATATTTCAAATTGATAATGACACTTACTCTTGTTCAATATCTAAACATGTTTGACAATACCGATGACCACATTTGGGTAATTGCATCGGATCTTGTAGTATAAAGTTACACACAGAACAAATGTATTTCTGGTCCAGAATATGTTTATTTTTAGCATCGATACCTACCATGATTTAATTTAATTAATATGAAGTGAACGATAGATGCTAGCTAGATACAAAACCAATTTACTTCTATTTGCGTGATTTTTTTTGCTGTTGTTTTTTATTAGTCAAAATAAAAATAGAAAAAAAAGTTTAGAAATGTTAATAGAAGCTAATAAATAGATTACCTTTTAAACAAATAAACAAATAAAAATAATTTTTCGTAATCAACTGATGCAATAAATATTTTATCTAGAATTCACATATTAGCATTAAAATATGATAACGATTTTAAATTTTCAAAATAAAAAATAGTTAAGAATTTGATATGGACCCATTCACTTCTATTTGATCAGATCTTGCGTTGATTGTCGATGTGTTCAGTAAAATTTCGATTGTAAATCGATCATCACTGATAAAAATCATTTGAACATCAATATGTATATCAAAGCCTTTCTCTAAAGTCAATAGAGTCCTGTTTAAAAAATGATTGAATTATATAGGCTCGTTCAAACTATGGTAATTATTCATAATTTGACTAATTTCAAACTAATATTACTAATATTGATGACGTTGTCAGTTTTTTTTTTGAATGAATACTTGATTATATTGTTTATTTTGATATTGATTCACTTCGTTGCATTGATTGGATTTGTCACAAGAAGTTTTGACAAATTCTCATTGTTTGTAAATATAAAGAAACCATATAGGTACTTTTCAATCACGTCATACTTATAATAACGAAATGTATCGTGTACAAATGTTGAAAGTAGATGATTCATGTGTGTAGGCGAATTTCATTCAGGGTGTGGGTGTGGGTGTGGGTGTGGGTGTGGATGTGGGTGTGGGTGTGGGTGAGTGTAGGTGTGGGTATGGGTATGGGTGTGTGTGCGGGTGTGAATGATGGAAATACCCGGACCCAGATCCACACCCACACCCTGCTACCAGCTACAATTAACGTTATTTCAAAGAGTAGCAGCTGTTAATAAATATAAACAATTATTCTTATAATGTACACGTTCGGACAAAAGTCTTTCCCCCTTTACCTTTTTATGATGTCATACTTTGATTCAAATTTATTGTCGAATAGAGATATAACATGAGAGTTTTATTTCAGTATGGTGTACAGATCACCCTGTAATAAAACTCTCATGTCATATCTCTGCTTGGTAATAAATTTGAATTCAAGTATGGCAGCATAAACAGATAACGGGGAAAAGACTTTTGTCAGGAGATGTATAAATGTTTCTTGTCTCATCTGGTTTTATTTTATTCCTGTGATAAGCGTTTATTATAGTTTTACAGTTCTATAATATACCTATACAGTGTAGCTATTATTTGCCAACAGAAATTTGATGATTTGCTAATATTATTATGCTATTATATAGTTTCCAGTGTTTCCTAGCAAACATTTGAGTTTAGTTGTAAAACAACAAAAATCATTGCAAAAGAAGGGATTAAAAGACAACCCCTCACCTTGCATTTGACGCCAAAGTACTATAATAATTATGGGTCTATTCTTCATCAGTATTGCGTATTATGAATGTTTCTACAGAGACATGACAAGTATTATAGAAAAATATATAATTCATTTCAATTCATAGACGAATTTATGCCAGTAGAAATTCAAAAACTCAAATGGGGTACAACTTCTTTTGGAGTGCAAAATGGCAAAATGGGGTACGTAGGCAGCACTGGTAAATGCTGATCTGCTCTATTCTTGAATCCACATGCACACCGACACCCTAATTTTATTCCCCAGTATAGTAATATTTTTTACCTGTTTTTTTCATTTATGTCCTCATGTAATTTCATTCGATAGTAGAAGCCATTCATACTGAATCATATGTAATGTGATATCCAAAATAGCAGCGACCGTAAATATTTAAAAGTTCAATATTTGGCATAAAATATGTGTAAAGAGTAAACGACGTCATAAACAAATTTATACCGCTTTCTCGTAATATAGTTTTTGCTGAGAATGCTTTAAGGTAAAAACACAAGAACAGTTAAAAATATCATAATTAAGTGATTGATAGAGAACAGAAAAGAGTTATTCAAATAGCTTTTCTTCTGAACACCTATAACGAAAACTTCAAGTGCAGAATTATTTCATTTTTGAAAAGGATACATTTCATGGAATTGTATAAGGATGTTAATTGTCATTAGAAAGTATATACCCATATCCACACCATCACCTTCCCACATCGTCATCTATGATGGAACTGTCTGAATCAAGAAAATGTTTTTCATTGTGACATATTGGGCGAGTGATCCATTTTAGATGAACGACCGAGCGCTCAACGAATGGTTCGTTGTTTCACTATTATCGAGCATTTTTCAACATGTCAGTCACTATTGTTTGAATAACTCTTTCCAATTCCTCGCTATCTGGTTTGAATTTCAGTCGTTCAATAGAGTACCACGGAGAATGCCTATCTATATGGGATGCATTTGAAATAAAGTTTTGATAGAAAATACTTGATTGATAAGAGTTTTGCTGTGAATTTTCCTGAACGCTTACAAAGGCACAGGCTTGCATTACACCAAAAGAGTGCGGGTCTGGAAGTAGGTTCTTGAGGGTGTGTGAGTGTGGGTGTGGGTGTTCCCAAGGAGAAAATCCACACTCACACCCACACCAATTTACATGCAGCCTAAACTCACCTTTCGTAATCCTTACTTACTGGTAGTAATTCTCGCTATGATCTTCGAGAACGTTAATATCATACACCATGATAAGGTAAATGTTGTCAAACAAATATTTACTGCGCAGTAGACTATCATATATGCGATAGCACATAATGTTTTCATTGTCTTATCTGGATTGTTGCATGCATACAGTGTCCTCCAAAAAGTAATTTTTCAGTAACTAACTCATACCCTGCTTTCTTATAGTTTGCAGTCGGTAATTAGAGCATGGAATTATTGTTGTCCAAGCTACAAGATTTGCTGGTAATAACTTGTGCACATTGACTAATACATTGCTGCTTTCAAGGTTGTACAGAATATTACTTTTTACTAACAGTGAAAGGGTTTGTACTGATGAGCTCAGAAGTTGACCATTTTGAGATCAAGCGATTACTTTCGCCGAGACACTAACAAATTTAAAGTATGAACTGTCATTGGAATGCCTGAACAGCGATATTCAATTTCTAAGCCATTCATTATTTTGGTATAGAAACATGATAGTATATAAACTATTCACATAAACTTTTTAGCATAGCCATCAGATTATTGAGATAGTGACTTTCTAAAACCTTGGTGAAACTTACTAACCATATTGAGGCTCCGCTAGCTACAACTTCTTTTGAAGTTTCATAGTACTGTATTAGCAAGGGTGTGGGTGTGGAGTGTGGGTGGGTGTGGATGTGAATGAATCTTCGAGAGAAGATCCACACCCCTAGCCACACTTACACCCATACTCATAGCGGCACCACCAACCCACACACCCACAACCATACCCACACTCACACCCACCCACACCAGCGCCCACACCCGCACCCACACCCGCACCCATACCCTAAATTCACTCTTTATTGTATCCTTTCAAAGAAAAACTCGAAACATTGAGGGCAAAGACTTTTGCACCTTACTGTATCTCATGATTTACAGTCGTTGTTTTGTACTTTTCCAGTTCATCATGTCAGAGTCATGGGTTAATTAAAAATAATAAACTAGAGATCGTGGAAAGTGCAACTTTTTCGAAAGGAGGTGTTGTTCTTCACCATAAAATCATTTTATCGAAGACATGAATTTCATATAGACTTTCAGAATCGGAACGCTAATAATCAATGTGCGGCTGTGGTTTGGTCTGAATATAAAATGTACACCGACACCCATCCATGCCCTGGGAAATTTAGAATTAATTATTTCATATTAGTTAATAAAATCATTTTATCTCAAAACTGATGAGCATTAAAGGACTTGAGAAAATTTTCCAAACCATAAAAAGCTTGCATGAGGTGTATTTATAGTTTGATTTAATTTAGTTTGAACTGTTGGTTTTGATATTCCTGATTTGTTTATTTTTTTCATTTTCATCATCAGTTATATTTCTATACTGACAATGAAATAATTGACTTTTAATTGAACCACGAAAGTTAAGTTCACACGATTCATCTGTTTGTTTTCATGCTCCCTCACAAACGAGTAATTTCAGTGATGAATGCATATTAAAAAGTAAATTAATTTGTCTATTGAAGTGTGGGTTTGGATGTCAACATTCTATAAGCTTGCATTCACATCCTGTAAATGATCAATTAACATTACAATGGGCCTAAAGTAATTTTCACTAGTATTATATTCAATTTAACGAATATCATGCATCGAAAAAAGAAAAATATAGCTCTTACATCGCTCTATTTCATGATATCTTCGTTCAGGATAGGCAGTAGAAAAAGAGTCACATACGAAAAATTTTATATTCTGTTTTAAAAGACATTTTCAATGTGATTAAAAGTTCATTCTGCAATAGTTACTCCACACCAAATCATTATAACGTCATTTTTTTTTCTCGTTGAGTTACAACCTTTTTCATCATCTGAAGAAGCAGTGAATTACATTTTTCAATCGTCAGCAAGATTTATACAATCCTTGTTCTGTGCACACCTATAAGACATTTTTCTGTGCAAATAAAAGTAACTCACTATGTAGTCTATTGAAGAGAAAAAAAGAAAGCAAAAACAACAATCTATTACATGAAAGCTTCACAAGTTATTAAAAAAGATTCTTTTTAACGAACGTTTCTTCTCTTTCAAAAAATACGAAATCAAAATACTTCCATTTTAATATTATTTTTTTCTTGTCAATTGTTGATATTGATTATTCTTTATTTCAAAACAATGTCAGTTTCAAAATTAGAATCACTTCCAAATGAAGTATTATGTGATATAATTGAGAACTACATAGATGGTGTTGATGCATTAGCAACTTTTAATCCTCAA